GATTGGCGTCAATTAAACTGCAAAATTCGTAGTAGTTTTGAAGTTATAGTCGGATTTAAATTCTCGATATTTTTGACTTTATCAGAAATTTTCTCGATAACTATTCATCGTAGAGCACTGAAATTTTTAATATATGATAGAAAATTCAATTTTCTATCCAACAGTACCAAATATAAGAGGTTATCTCCAATAAGTCCGGAATTATTGCCATTAGACCGCTCCGGGTGCCAAAAATCGACCATAATCACGACAAAAATCAAAAAAAATTTCAACTTTAAAATTGATCTATTTTACGTTTTTTACATTTCTAGAGGTCTTAAAGACTCAAATAAGTGCATAAAATGTTATTGGGTCAAGTTTCAAAAATTTTGAATTTTTTGAGTTTTTGAAGGTGAGCGGTAGTAAAATCGTAAAAATAGTCAATTTACCTTAAGTCGTAAAAACGGTTGAAATATGGTTTTCTAGACGTAAAATTACGCGCTGAACACAATACAACAAGTTAAGAGATATTGAGTAATAAGTAATTGCGTGCTAATCATTTTTGTTTTGAAGTTATTAATTATTGGTTTAGGAGAAACATAAAATACAAAATTCAAACTAGTTTTTTATTATTGCTCTAAAATAGTACGATCAATCCAAACTACGAGTTTGTTGCCTTTGGGGTTCTATACTTACCTAAACATATAGCATCTTAATGAGGAACTCGATAGAATGATAATTAAATGCATCAGTTTTACATACATTTATTCAATAATTATTGTCTTCAGTTATTGAAAATGCACTTATAACAAATAGTTAATTACAAACAATGCGTGTTATTAGAAGGCATTTATCAAAGAGATTCATCAGCACTAAGATGGGAGCAATAATAAATGCCATCCAATAAATCAGTTTCACGGTTATTTCTTAAAATTTAGGCAATTTATACAATTGATTTATTATATTATATAATTTTTCCACGTAATTAGTTTTTTCTTTTTAGTCTATAGAGAAAGAAACAATTTAAAGCACTTATAAAACATGTTTAGCCTATATAACTATACTTTATTGTTAATCACCATTGCTGATACGTTTTTGTTTCGTTTTGTAAAATCACATTGTATACATTTTCATTTGAAAAAGTAAAAATGATAGGTACAATTAATCAAAATATGAAAATGTAAGCAACATATGGACAAAGAAAGCACAGAAGTATATAACTTGTATCAACAAAGCCTTTATTCATTATAATTTGTTAATAGCACCATTAAAAATTAAAAGACTATACTAAAAGTCGAAAGATGATTTTTTCATAAATTACATATTGGACCTTATTTTTATGTACCCTTTTAAGTATACATTGCTCTTCAACAGTTACTTTCTTATTAAAACTATCCCTAAAATGGCACAATTTTTTTATTTAAGATAAAATCATATAAAAAAGATTATAGTATATGTATAAAAAAAGAATCGACCAGAAAAATGGCAGTTAAAAGAATAGAAAATTATTCCATTGGGGAATAGAATAAGATTGGCAAAATGTTAATTTACTGAGTTTTACCAATTAACATTTTGCTACTTGTAATGATCTTGAATAAAATAAAATGAACACAAATAAGTGAACACTTGTTGGACAACTAAATTGACTGCCCTTTTTTAACTAAAACTAATAGTCGTTCTCAATTCACGAGGTCATTTTCGTCATATAGGTCATCGAAGCTGAAACAGAAACACGAAATTAGTAACAGAAAATCTTGGAGTTGACAATTTTAAAATTGCTTTCATCTTATCTTACCTAAATATATACAATCCATTAGAGGTTGCACTAATTGGATAAAAAAGCGTCAGTCTATATCATGTAATTAACGGTAATAAAATATTTACCTTCAAATTGCTTATTTATGTACAACTTTTAACATTTCTACAATTCGACCTAGTCAACTTAATCTTTTGTTTGGAATAGATATATAATTGGACTTGTTTTGATATGTTATAATTTTAGAACAAACTTATGTTTCGTTATTAGTCTATTGTCTAGCACATGAAGTTATTGCGATTATTTACGTAATAAAACGGATCAGTTTATTTAGTCAAATGTCTGTCAACAGTATTTGTATGCAGCAAAGGTAAATGGCGTGATAAAAATTAAGACAGGGACGTTGATGTGACATACTGGAGGGTCTTGGATGGATTATGTTAACAGGAGGAGGTTCAACAATTTCGTCAAACTGATCCGAATCAGCAAAAATTAACGAGGACGGAATCCATCGTATCCTTTATTTACGCAGCATGGAAAGAACATTTTAAATTAATCACAATGTCCTTTTCTGCATTTCTATGCATTTTCGGTATCAATCGGTATTTATTTTTTCGAAATTTGTACATGAAGTTTTTGTTTTGAATTTAGGGTGTCCGAAAGTACATAGAGTTCAAGGCATCGTATCAGAGTTCTTTAAAGTTTAGGAAATCGTAGAAGGATCCATTTGTAAATATAGGGGAGTCCTGAAATCAGCTAAGAACAGTGGCGTGGCACTTATTTATTTGAACAAAACAAATAATCTATGTATAGTAGATTTCATTGAAATTGGCATAATGGTTGGCTATGGAGTTTCATATTTAAGTTTGTAGCCCTGCGTATGTCCCTGGTATAATAGCAGATGGGGTTTTTGTTTTTCTTTGATTATTTACCTACATGGTTTGTTGAACTGACATGACTGACATTTGTATTCGTTTTTTCACTATTTTCGTTGCTTCATCATTATTCCCAGGATTTTTTCAAATTATAATTAAAAGTAGTAGAACCCCAGATTTAAAGTACATGCTAAGGTATGTTTGAAAACATAATCAATTTCTTTTTGTTGTTTTTGTTTTAGGTTAATGGAATCCAGGTGTGATGAAATTTCCAGATTTGGTGATTTTCATGTTAGTCTGGTGATTTGGTGAAAACTTTTGTAAAAATTCTAATATCTGGTGATTTTTTGGAACTGTAAAAACTGTTTTTTTGAGCATTTTCCACGTTTTCAACCAGAAAATTTATTCGAACTCGAAAAATTTTCAAATTGGTTAAAAATAGTTCTGCTTGTTTTTTTTTACAAGATTGTATTAAACAGGATCGAAAATGACAATTTATTTTTGTCCTTGTCGAATACTTTTTCAGCTAGAAACACAATTATTTCGCAAAATTTCGTAAAAGACAATCCAAAAACGGCGTTATTTTTGCCCTTTTCAAGTGTTTTTGAGATGAAAACAAAGAAATGCTTCTTTGAAGCAGGCAAATTTTTTTTTATTAAAAACAACGCACAAATTCGTCAAAATAGCCCAAAAACGGGCTTTTTTTTTCAAGTATTTCGGGATGTTTTTGAGAGATAAGAACAAAAAAAGTTCGATATATTGCATTGAAACAGGCTTAAAAATTACAAAATTAAATCGAAATTGATATTATTTTTAGCTTGTTTCGCTTCGTTTTTGAACCAGAAGCTCATTTATTTTGCAAAATCTTGTTCAAACACGCTTAAAAATTAAAAATTAAATTATTTAATTCGAGCATTTTCCACCAGAAACTTGATTATTTCAAAAAAGTCGAAAAATTCTCAAATTGGTTAAAAAGTAGTTCTGCGTGTTTTTTTTTACAAGATTGCATTAAACAGGATCGAAAATGACAATTTATTTTTGTCTTTTTCGAATACTTTTTCAGCTATAAACGTAAAGTTTCGTTAAAATTCATCTAAAAATACAACAATTTGACCAAAAACGGCGTTATTTTTACCCTTTTCAAGTGTTTAAGCACGTTTTTGCGATAAAAACAAAGAAAATTCAAGAATTTATTTGAAGCAGGCAAAAAACTTATAAAAATAAATCGAAATTGATATTACTTTTAGCTTGTTTCGCTCGACTTACTTCGTTTTTGAACCAGAGGCTCATTTATTTTGCAAAATTTTGTCCAAACACGCCTGAAAATCACAAAAACAATTGATATTGAGTTTATTTTGTTGGTTTCACTCGCTTTAACTGTTTTTTAAACAAAATAAACACAAGTCGGAAATTACATTAAATTTTGCATTTCTTGAGAGTTTCCAACTTTTCAGTTTTTCAGCTAGAAACGCAATTATTTGGGCCGAAAATGATGTTTTTTACCTTTCTCGAAAGTTCAAGCAGATTTATAAGTTGAAAACTGTTTTTTCGCGAGAGTTTTGCCATAGCGTGTCAAAAATCACTAAATTGTTAAAAATATATATTATGATATTTTTACCTAACTCTTAGGCTTTAACATGATTATATTGTAAAATTTTCTCGAAAAAAAAAATCGAAACCACCAAATTGCTTAAAAATAGTTTTATTTTGGATGTCCCATTTTTTATGTCCGCCGATGTACCTAACGAAAAATATTTTTTTCACGTCCGGCAAATAAAGTGTAAAATGTTAAATTTTTTGTAAGCGTTTAATTTTTTTATTCATTTGAATGAAAAAAAAAGTGTAGCGTGTCACTTTTTAACGCAAAATATTTATACATTTGCTATGACTCTTGACATTTGTCAGAAATTAAAACGAATTAATTTTGCAATTTAGTTCCTGTATTAATTAATTGTACATTTAATATCAGTGTATCAACCTTACAATTCCCTTTTTACCACAGAATAGTTCTATGTTACGCCACTGCTCAAGTTTCGAGTATGCCTATCGACATCCTTCTGCGATTTTCTGACTTTTACTCACCTAGAACATGGTTTAACATTAACTCCAGAGATTGCTCTTATTCCCAAATCAAGTGTTTTTAAATTTTGTAGCTCGAAAGCGTGAATGCAGCCATCAAAACCATGATTAAACCTTCTTCCAGTCATCAAGCCAATGTTTGGAGCTCCTCCCAAGTATATATTTCCAGCGCATGATAACGTGTTCGTAAAACCGGGGGATTCACCCGTTTGAGTGTAAGCATTGTCGATTTCGATGGAGCCAACACGACCTCTGCGTTTCAAGATGGCACTGTGTCTTTGTCCATCATCGACTCGCTTCTGCGTGTTTCTAATTATCGCAGGACCTGAACCTAGATCGTAACTGAATTCCAAATATCCATTGACAACTGCAAATAATCAAGTGATAATTTCGGAATTGAAAAAAAAAAAAAAAGAAAAAACACGAACCTCCAAGAGAAATGTAATTTTTGCCTTGACCGTCTTCGTTGGGAGTTTGTCCGTGCCAAAAGACCAATCCGTCGCTTGAATTTGTCGACAATTCGACTGCAATAAGCTCGTCTTCGTTTTCTCTGATGTGGTCAAGGAGCTCTCTGTCGAATTCCAAGTAGCCTTTGCCGTTAAAATTTGCATCGTTTCTTAATTCGACACCTGTGAACAAGTGGGTGTAGTTCCACGTTTAGTTGGATGTTTTGTTTACTTACGGAGTTCACAATTTTTGCCAGAGAAGAGAAGTGGACAACTACACTCATATCCTGTTGCATTTCCACTGCATGTACCCCCATTTTGACATGGGATTTTTTGCTCGCAGATGTTAGTTTCAATTTCGCAGTCTTTTCCACTGTAACAAAAGCGAAAATTTTTGAAACGTCTGCTTTTAAAGTTTGCATTTCAAACACAATGAGCAAATTTTGGATGTCCCATTGTTTTATGTCCACCCATAATATCTAATGAAAAATATTTTTTTCACGTCCGTCAAATAACGTGTAAAATTTTTCATTAATTTTTTTAATAAAAAAATACATTTCGCATTGGAAGGGTGAAAAAAATGCCACAGCCTTTAATTTTTTTACTCATTTGAATGTCGTAGAGTGTCATTTTTTAACGCAAAATATTTATACATTTGTTATGACTCTTGACATTTGAAGGGGTGAGTGGATAAAGGTGTAGCATTTTTTTGAAAACTGCCATTTTCTTTTCAAACAATTTTTTCGCAATATTCTTTTATTGAAAAAGATAATAATAATAAATAAATGTTAAAAAAAGCAAAACTAACACAATTTTTACTTAATTCAATGACTTTTCGACGTATTTTTGACTAAATTTTGCAAAGTAATTTTTTATTGAAAAATATGTTAAAACGCTTGAAAAGAGCAGAAATTATGTCATTTTTGAATTAGTCTGGTATATGTATTAATTTTTTGGTATGTTTAAGCAAAAATTAAAGGAAAAACTGTGTTTTAGACTCAAAAAACGCAACTAAATGTTAGAAAGAGGCAAAAATAACATCATTTTGGAATTAATTATGTGATTTTTCGGCTTATTTTGTGCTTTTGGATGAAAAATCTGCTAAAACGTTTGGAAAAGCCACCAGATGATTTTTCGGCTAAAAACATGCTTAAACTTTCCAAAGAAGCAAAAATAATTTTATTTTCGTGATAGTTTATTCATTTGTTGCTTTATTTTCGACGAAAATTTTCAAAATAATTGCAATTCTGACTAAAAAACGTCCTAAAATAGAAAAATTGTATTATTATTTGAACCAACGTTTTAGCACAATCTAAAAAAGTAAAAATAACACCATTTTTGAGTAAAATTAGCGATTTGTGACGAAATGACTTAGTAAATTTTTAACTGAAAAACGTGCTTTCAACCCAATATGTTTTAATAGAATCTTACAAAAAAAACGTGATGTAAATTGGCAAAATTCATTATTTTTTACTTAATTTGGTGACTTTTCGGTATATTTTTGTCTAAATACTTCGAGCTAATTCCGTCTCTTATTGAAAAATATGGTGTTAATATGGAAAACGGTTTCCGAGGAGTCGAAACTAGCTTCAAAATTACATCCAGTAAACAAGAAAAAATCTTTTAAATGAGAATGTTAATTTTCGAGACAGCATAAAGTGGACTATATTGTGTCGTTGGAATTTCATTTATAAATATGTTGTTAAACTTGAAATATTTTTATAAAGCAATAATTATCACAAAGTTTATATTAGAAAATAAAGCTTGTTTTTTGGTACATAACACTTTTATCAATTTTTTAATAATATAAACTAATGCATTATAGTGGTTGAAGGGATCATGTACATTTGACCGTTAAAAAATCTATAAAAAACATAATTACGTAAGTTTTCTTATAATTTTTTGAAGTGATAGTTCATGATTTTTTTTACGGACGTGAAAAAATGCAACTCTACAAGTCTACAGTTCCCTTTTTTCCTGTGTTACGCCACTGCTCAAGTTTCCCCACTCCGCCTTTCGATTTCCTGACCTCTACTAAAATTACCTGAATCCATTCAAACAATTGCAGTTGTAATCCATCGGTGACAAGGGGTAGCATTGCCCACCATTCTTACAGGGATTGCTTGAACATCCGGTTCTTCTACTATTATAAGATGGTGTAGTTGGTGTATTTTCATGAACATATTCGAATCCACCGACATTGTTATCAACTTCGTTATCCAAACTGCTACACTCCATAACATTAGCAGAATCCTCAGCAGAATTGATAACATCCAAATCCAATCCCGACATTTTGATCTGAAAATTCAAATTCAAAACAATTTCTCCTAATTGGTGTAACGAACCTCCGAAATACAACCATTGAAACCCGAGTGGACTCCAACTTTTTCGTTGATCTTAATACTTTCACTGTCGTAACCGCCAACATACAACCGAGTTAACAAATTCAGAGTTTTATGGTTTCCTGGTGTCGTTCCGAATGTCGTTTCCCCATCGACGATAAGTCGTCCTTCGCTTAAGCTTCTTGTTGCTGTTAAAACATGCCATTCTCCAGGTCTCACTTCTTTCTCGCTGCGGATGGTCACAGGTCGTCCTCCTACATTGAAGTTGAATTCAATGTGACGGTCTTTGATGGCTAAACTGACGAAATCTCCGTGTCCTTCATCTGTTTCAGCACAGTATAACAATATGCCGTCACGAGTGTCAGTTGGCTTGATTTTCAGAGCGGCTTTGAAACGTCTTTGGAGTTTTGGTACAGGATAGGCGATGTAAGCGCCGTTGCTGAAAGCCGGCTCATTTACGGAAATTTCTCTTTCGCATCGGCGGCCTACGCGACCCATTGGGCAAAGGCAGTCGAAGCCGTTGTCGTTATCGAGACATCGACCGGTCCCACAAGTATCTAAAGTCAAACCGTCGGCATGTGAAAATAAAATCTTTCAAACAAAAACTCTATACAGGGGGTACCACGAGTAATAATGAGCCTGAAAATTTTTTTGAAGCAACCAACATTACATTTCATAGATAACGTGGATATTAAAATATTTCGTTTTAAGTAGTTAAACATAGTAATCGTATTTTTATTTTTGACAACTTTCTATCAGTCAAAATGACTTTACTCCAGTTTTAGGAAGTCCGTCTATTTGGATAGAAACGTGCAGTCTGCGAAGTGTTTTTCAAACATTCTTCATAAATGAGAATCTTGTTGGTCTTTTCGGCAACATCTTAGTAATTCTCACCGAATTCTCCAAGGTTTGACATTTTATAAATTAAAGTTGAAGTGCTGTTTAGTTACTATTTTTAATTTATTAAAACTACGTTATCTTTGAAATGTAATGTTGGTTGCTTCAAAAAAATTTTTAGATTCATTATTACTCGTGGGACACCCTGTAGAAATATGTCAGAACATAAACAAATATTTAAGAGTAAAAATAAAAAAAAATAGTACAAATACAAAGTTACGATCATACATAACGGAATAAAATTTAGGGCAGTATTTTTCTGTAATTTCAAAAAGTTCACTGTAAACCTTTTACTGTCATCATGACTGACATTTGACAATTAAACTTGTCCGCAACTGTACTCTTGCTTAAGGTAAAAAAATAATAACTCTTAATAAATAATATTTGGAATTTCGTGTTTATTCTAATCTTCTAGTGTGAAAGATATTAAATTTTTTATTTTTCTATTTTCCCCTTCGAGAAAATGGATCAAATTCATCGTTTATGTTCTATTTTGTTTTTCTATTTTTCAAATTAATTCAAAATTAAGCTTTTCAGTGAAAAACTCCTTGAAAAATAGTTCAAAACGAGAAAACATTTTACATACCGAGTGTAGTATCCGTTACAAGCAGAAAAGAAATCCCTACTTCTAATTAAATAAAATTGTTGAATTTTTTCACACTTACTTGGGCATTCATAAGGTACAGTTCCTATTTTTTTAGTAATTTTTCATTTACAAAGCCAAAAAAATTAAAAAGTAATTTTCCAATTTTTATAATGACCCACGCAGATTCAGTTCCTACGATTGTTTACAAAATCAGAAAAAAAATACCAATTAGATTTTGAATTAAACGTAATTTTTCATATTACATTTAAAAATTATTTTTATAAATTTAGGTGACAATGGGGAACTGTAATTGGGATAAGATTCCAAGTTTTACAACAAAAAGACCCTTCAAAGTGGTCTTTTATTATTTATTATTATTTTATTTTATTATTATATTATTTTATTTTTTTTATTTTTATTATCATTTACTATCAAAAAAAATTAGAAAAATTAGAAAAATACATATACCCTATCAATAATTAGTTAGTTATATGAAATATCGCCAGTTTTAATTAATTAGAAGTGGCGTAACCGATGCCACACCCGGTATACCTACTGTTCCAAATTATTTAGAGTAAAAAAATGTCTTACATTTTTTGATGATTTTTGAAATATTAAAAATGGTCGTATTCAGATTTAAAAAAATCTATTTTAAAGCTTCAAGTTTCTAGTCTTGAGATCTGTTAGCAAAAAAAATTCTGAGCTACAATTATTACGTAATCCTAAGAAAAAGCCGAAGAAAAAAAATATTTTTTTTTTTGGTCCACGGACTTGGGGAAATTTTTATTAGTTAAATCAATGCATGGGTCCGATAGCTTGTTTATTCAGCTTCAATTTGTCTTTTTTACGTGAATTTGTTGCTGAAATATTTGATTTTTAACGAAAATAAAAAGGATCTTTTTGTTTTTGATAATCGATATCTTCGCAATCAATAATGACACCACAGGGAATGTAAAAATAGTTTCAAAAACTAGAAAATTTTTTCTACAAGATGTTTTTACGATTTTTTGAAAAAAATCATTTATTTTGTACTCAATGTTGTAGAGTGATAAAGTAGTGAAATAAAGTAATTTTTATCTACTTTTATATTCAAGAAATTCTGGTAGGTGAGTACAAAATAAAACGACGCTAAAGATTCTTTATCGACTCGTGACTTCGTCATTCGTAAACTTAACCTTTTCACTCGTAGAAAAAATTAAAAAAAAACATTTTTTTACCTCTTCATACAGATTTGCATGTAAAATTAAAAAAAAAACATTAAAAAACAGTAATTTTTTATAGTTTTGGAAATTAGTAAAAAATCAAGAACCAATACTGACTAATTTTTGAGAACATTTATTTAATTTTTACATCAAATTAATTGTATTAATGAAAAGTTGATACTCCCAAGCTGTATTCAGCAACATTCTAGCAAATTTTCAAAAAAGTAATTTTTTTAATTGCTGCCGAATTTTTTTTTCAAATTTAATAGTAGTGTATTGTTTTTCAAAACTTAAGAACTTGAAGCACTTGCAACTTTGTACATATACTATTTTCTTTACACTTTTTATTGCATATGTTATTTATTGATTTTTTCTTTTGTACTATACAAAAAATTATATTGTTTTTAAATTTTCTAAATACTAAATACACTAAATTCAGCAAAAATAGGAAGACTTGCGGAAGTCCTGTAAAACCACATGAAAAAAGTCAGTGTTGTTTTCCAAAATACAACAAAATTTTCAAAAAGTTATAGAAAAAACAATTTGAAAAATTAAACAAAAAAAAATTCACTTCTTAAATTCAATGACATAATTTTGGGAGAGTTTTGCCAAAGCAAGACACCAAAAAAAAAGCAATAAAAAATCAACTTACATGGCGAGCAAGCTTCTCCTTTCAGCTTTTCACAGTTGGGCCCACTATACCCAGGGGTGCAAATACACGAATATCCCTCAGGAGACAAGGCTTCTTGACACACGCCCCTATTTTTGCATTTATCATGTGAACAAGTTTCACACGTGGTGATACCATGTTTATATTTAGCTTGTTTTGTGATATCTATGTAGTTGAAACCGATCTTGAATCGGCTAATGCAACCCACAAATCCATTCAAAACTCCAACTTCGGGAGAAATTTCATCAAAATCGGGGACTCCACCCAGATACAATTGTTCGGAAAGATCAAGCCCGATGTATTTTCCTTCAGCGTTACCAATAAATGGTCCTGTACCATCGACGAACATGGTTACTAGAAAAAGAAATAATTGTCAAAGCCAAATTTTGCTTTCTAAATTAAAATTACCTTTCTTTCGGTATCTTATGACTTTAATGGTATGCCACTCGTTGAGGGTCACTGGACGGTCGGCCCTTACTGTAGCTACTCCCCCTCCTAAATTAAACCTAAACTCGGGTACCCCATTGACGAGCGAAAGTGAAACAAAGTCCCCGTTTTTATCACTACCCTTATCACCGTTATACAGTAATAAACCATCGCCGTTTTGGGGTTTAAACGATATTTCGAAATTGAATTGAATATACAAATCAACTGTATTTTCTAATGCAATGTAACTAGTGGGTGCTTGAGCGAAATGGGGTACTATTCCAGTGACAGTTAATACTGTAGTTGTATCAATTTTACGGTCACCGTTGTTTTGTGAGCAAGTGTAAACACCTGCATCCATGCTGTTGACTTCATTTAGTTGAATCGAACGCTGGAAAAACAACTCAAAAGTGGCCCTTGTCAAATTAGACAAAAATAGGGCGATCGGTGGAAAAAAATCCTAGAGAGTTGGAATTTTTTTAAACGCTTTCTTTTTTCTTGGGTAGACATATATCAAAAGTCCTTGAAGGTGGGGGGCGAGGAGGGGGAGGGGGCTAAAGGTGTCTTTTTTGTTTTTTTGCTTATATCTCGGAAACTATTACTCCTAACGGTTTTTGCCTGCTTATCAAAATTAAAGCCTACAAAATTTCCTACAAAAATGGTCCTTTGCATTTTTGTTGTAGGACTGACTGTAAGCGAGTTATAGGGCTGACAAAAAACATCATWWAAAAAAATGTGCTTTATCCGTATTTAAAACAGAAAAATAAAATCGCCAATGTGATGGGACTTGAAAAGCAAAGAAAGATTATTATTACAAGTCCAGAAGTAAGAAAAAAATTAACTTTTCTCTCTACTGCGTCAGAATAATGAAGTTTTAATAACAGATTTGRTCGTTTCAGATAAAGCAAAAACAACCCTTGCTWTTAAAGTGTTACTTTATCTAGTCAAAAGAGTTTATAAAGAAGTAGTTTAACATCTGCTATAGAAAAAAAGTATTTCCTTTGCTTTTTGGGCGTAAAATCAAAGGTAAAAATTTGTTTCCTTTTTATTGGCTATTATAAAATGTATTATTAAGTTTAGAATTTTGATTATAAAAGAAATAACTTGAAATTGGCAAAAAAATCTGGCATTTAAAACTAGTTCTACAATCTTGATTTTTGAAAGCTAGAATTCAAGTCAAGCAAAAATGTTTTTTCTTTGCAGTTTTGGCGTAAAATCAAAGGTAAACTTTTTTTCCTCTTGTAAACTTAATCCGGAAATATACTGTATACTTGCAAAATACATTTCTTAAATAAATTTATTTTATTAATCTTGTGATTTGAAAAAACTGAAAGCAAATTGAATTTATTAGGTGCAACACTTCATTAGAGAGTCTATAAAGTCTTTGGAGTCGTTCTCATATGCTACATCTTCGTCTTCAACTTAAACATTGAAAACCGAATTACAGTCTTGTTCAGTACAATATTAATAAATAGATGATTTAATATCTATGATTTATTTATTATTCCATAGACTTAGGTCTCTATAAAACTAGATAATTACCTATGTTATGTATAGGATTCAGTTATAGTAGTGTCGTTCTTCGCATGGGCTATGTTTATGGATAAATATTAAATGTTGATTTTCATAAAGTGTCGTCTCAGTGCACTTCTGCACTCTCAAAATTCGAAATTTCATGTTTCTAATTTTGTTTTTAAGCGTTTAAACTCTATTTTATTTCATTAAAATTTGAAAAGTGCACTTTTACACTCTCTAAGGATCATATTTTCTAAATTTAAAGTTTTTATATCCCTTTAAATGTGTACACCGTTTTATTCCCTTAAAAACTAATTTTCCAAAAATCTGATTTTAGTGCTCCTTTACACCTCTCAAGTATTTTATGTTTATATCTTTGTTTAAACATTCACACCCCATTTAACCCCCTTACAGATTGATTCTCTCTTTCATCCAAAATTTTTATTTATATCTCCGTTTAAATGTTTACTCTACACATATACTTACCATATACTAATGAAATGTGTTTGAAAGGATTTTTACAGCAATTTTATGTAGACTTCAAACTTTTGAAGCCTACGGTTAGTCCTTCGACAAAAATAAATAGGACCATTTTTGTAGGAAATTTTGATGTAGAAATAGAAAATTCTGCAAAAATTACATAAACGATGAGTTTGTATTTATAGACCCTCGTGACTCCCCCTTCCTTTAATGAAGTATTGGACCCAGTAAATTCAATTTACTGTCAGTTTTTTTTTTTAATTACAAGACTAATTCTGTTTTAAATGCAGATAAAGCACATTTTTTTAAATGATGTTTATTTTTCTGCCCTATAACTCGCTTACGGTTAGCCCTACAACAAAAATGCAAAGGACCGTTTTTGTAGGAAATTTTGTAAGCTTTAATTTTGATAAGAAGATAGAGTGATAATTTCCGAGATATAAGCAAAAAACCAAAAAAAGACACCTTTAACCCCCTCCCCCTCCTCGAGCTCGCACTCCACCTTCGGGGACTTTTGATATAGTGTAAAAAAGCGCTTAAAATTCCAACTCTCTAGGATTTTTTTCCACCGATTTGTCTAATTTGACTGGACTATTACTTACGCTGTGCACATCAACGTTATCTGGGAGATTTCGTCCCTGTTTCGTCCATAAATAGTTCACTGGTGGTTCCAAATCCGTTTTACATTCCAATATAACAGTGGAACCTTGAGGTGCTGTTTTAATTTCCAGTGGAGGTTCATCCAAATTCAAATCGCGGTCTAAAAATCCCAAAATTGTGTCTAACACAAACGAATTTAATTTAGATAGGTACCTATGACTTCTAAGTGGTAATCCTTGTGGTATACACCTTGGTAACCGGTAGCTTCACATCGGTACACTCCTGAATTTTCCGGTCGTACTGATGGTATTCTTAAGACACCACCGGCACTTTGAACATTATTTTCAAACCAACCGGCCAGTTTTGACCATGTTGTTATCACTCCAGGTTCACTTGATTGGCAATTGAGGTCAACGTGTTCTCCGGCTCTGTAGGTTCTTTCTGATGGTGTTATGTGGAGAGATGGTGATGGTACCGTTACGGTGGAGGGCCCTACAATTTACAATGAATTTAAAACACCACTAAAACACAATACCATGTACCAAAACATCATTTCTTTAAGTAAATTTCTGATCGGAGTAACCTCTGAATCTAACAATACTGAATAACAAAATAGTATATTATGATACGAGTTTTATAACAAGCATTTTGCTTTTAAAGCAGTAAGTGAGATAAAATGCCTTATAAATGAGATATCATATAGTATTTTTTCTACTTTGCACTTTTTTAAAGAAAAAAATTGAAATCTCGAAATGTAGGGAATTTTGCGGCAGTTGGCAAGATTGCGCGGTGGCTACTTGGGGAAATAAATTAATTTGAAACGTCATTATCAGGGGTAGCCTACTAGTAATAGTCCAGACCATTTTCGATAAATTTTAGTTCTGTCCCGGCCGTCAGAGGTCGCGATTAGCATTCTCATAATAAAGTTTATTTATTTTTTGCGAATGTTATTTTTATTTTAAATTTTCATTCAAAGGTTGACGATAGGTATAGACACACAACATAAATAACAAATTAAGGTTCCAGCTTTTTTTGTTAGATTTATAATAAAAGAAAGAAATCTAATTTATCGGCGTGAAGTGTGCGTGAGTTTTATAAGAAGCATTTTATCGCAGGCACGGGTTTAAAGCAGTAGTGCGATAAAATGCCTTATAAACGAGATATCATACAGTATTTTTTCTACTTTGCACTTTTTTAAACAAAAAAAATAAAATTTCGGAATGTAGGGAATTTTGCGGCAGTTTGCAACATTGCGCGGTGGCTACTTGGCTAGGTAGCTATGAAATAAACTAATTTGAAATATTATTTTATTCGTAAAAATAAATTTCGAAGGTGTCGAAGACGTTTTGCAATGTACGCCTCTAGAAATACGGACCTTGACGGCAAATATGATGAAAAATTTACTCCCTGTGAGATTGTTTAGTAAGTTGCCGGCAAAACCTAACCACAGAAGCCTCAAAAGTAACAGTAAGTGCGCAAACACCACGATAATCATAATGTTCATTCTGAATATTTTTTGCGATGATTAATTAAACCAAACACAGCGAAAATTTCGTATTTGAATAATTTGATTTGCGTTAGGTTGATTGACACTGACAGTTCGATGGAAAAACGGTTAGGTCGCCAACATTATAAGACTAAATTTCCCTCTTTTTAGTATAATTTTTATAGCCGTTTTTAGGGCTTAGTGCGAACACAAAGTAGAAAAAAAATCACAACACAATCAGAAATCTAATTAAAAGCACTGTAGTTGTAGCAGTTATTACACAATGTTTCATTCTTGCAAAAAAATCAAAATTGTGCTCTTATTTAAAAAAGTAACGAATTGAGTTGCAGTGCCATTGAGCCTTGTTAATAACGTACATGCAGAATGTTTGATACTTGTAAAATACAATAATGTTTACGTTTTTGGAAAATGTTTCACTCTGTCTGAACTTTCCTGTTGTTTTTTTTTTTAAATAAAAAAGTAGAGCATATTTACAAAACAAAAGCAATGTGTTACAAATGTGTTCAAATTTAAAGATTTTTATAGTATAAAATTTTCATTCAAGTAATAATAGCAATTTTAGCATATTACTATTTAATTTTGAAACAATAAGGTTTGAGTTTTTTTTTCATATTAAACTGTCAGTATCTCACTATAAATGTTGGATTGCTGATAGACTGCATAAAAATCTTATTTATCTTAATCTTGTTGTAAAAAGTCCAAAGGCGCTGTATTTAAAATTATTTAAAAAATATAGATTAAATAAGAGCATTATTTCACTTTTTTACTAGAATTAGATATCAATAAGTTTTTATTATACACACAAATCACATTGGCATTAGTGGTATACAATACAAAAGCACAAACGACTAAAGAAACCGAACTAAAAAAGCTTTTTCAACATGAAAATATTGTTTCAGACTTTAGAACTTATCCATACTCTGTAAAATCATACTTTTGCAACATTGAACACAAAAATTTTAGTAATAGTAGTATTATTATTAAACATAAGCTTAAAGTTTACAGAAAAATTGTCGTTTATGACAGTATTATTGTAAAGTCTGAACCGATTTTTGTAAGATTTTGAGACACACAAACGCCCAAACAAGACCGAATAGCACCCTCTACAGTGGCCACTGACGACACGAAGAGCTAGAAACAAAGAAAGCATAACAAACCCCGTCGTATCCTATGACTACAGTTGTCCTCATCACTGTTATCACCACAGTCATCATTGTTGTCACAATACTGTGAAACGGGAATGCACACATTGTTTCTACATTTCCATTGGTTTGATCGACAAGACCATGAACCTTTTGGTCAAACCATGCAATAAATAAACTAAAGTCTATCATAAAACAAAAACCAACACAGAAGTAAAACCAACTACTAGAACACTTCTGGGCTAGTCTAACCAAACAACTTACTGGTAACTTGCAAGTCGACATAGTCACTGGAACTGCCTCCATCTGTTGGCATTTCACAATAATAACGGCCTTCATCCTGCGGTTGCAGATTGTAAATCGTGAGAATTTCACCCTGGACTTGGGAGTTTTGTGGAAGTGGTAATCTCTCACGGAACCATTTAATGTTGGGAATAACACTGGAGTCGTGTGCTCTGCATCGGAGTGTTATTGTTGACCCTATTGGACCCGTTTGTTGGCGGTTTTCGGCAGTTAGAGACGGTTTGTGCACGTTTTCTGTAAGAAAAGAGTTGTGAAATTTGCCAAGTAGCCCAGTCAAATTAGACAAATCGGTGGAAAAAAATCCTGGAGTTGGAATTTTTTAAATGCTTTCTTTACACTTGGGTAGACATATATCAGAAGTCCCCGAAGGTGGTGGGCGAGCTCGAGGAGGGGGAGGGGGTTAAAGGTGTCTTTTTTTGGTTTTTTGCTTATATCTCGGAAATTATCACTCCTATAGGCTTTTATCTTCTTATCAAAATTAAAGCTTCCAAAATTTCCTACAAAAATGGTCCTTTGCATTTTTGTTGTAGGACTAACCATAAGCGAGTTATAGGGCAGAAAAGAAACATCATTTAAAAAAATGTGCTTTATCTGCATTTAAAACAGAATTAGTCTTGTAATTTAAAAAAAAAAACTGACAGTAAATTGAATTTACTGGGTCCAATACTTCATTAAAGGAAGGGGGAGTCACGAGGGTCTATAAATACAAACTCATCGTTTATGTAATTTTTGCAGAATTTTCTATTTCTACATCAAAATTTCCTACAAAAATGGTCCTATTTATTTTTGTCGAAGGACTAACCGTAGGCTTCAAAAGTTTGAAGTCTACATAAAATTGCATTAAAAATCCTTTGAAACACATTTCATTAGTATATGGTAAGTATATGTGTAGAGTAAACATTTAAACGGAGATATAAATAAAAATTTTGGATGAAAGAGAGAATCAATCTGTAAGTGGGTTAAATGAGGTGTAAATGTTTAAACAAAGATATAAACATAAAATTCTTTAGAGGTGTAAAGGAGCACTAAAATCAGATTTTTGGAAAATTAGTTTTTAAGGGAATAAAACGGTGTACACATTTAAAGGGATATAAAAACTTTAAATTTAGAAAATATGATCCTTAGAGAGTGTAAAAGTGCACTTTTCAAATTTTAATGAAACAAAATAGAGTTTAAATGCTTCTTAAAAACAAAATTAGAAACATGAAATTTCGAATTTTGAGAGTGCAGAAGTGCACTGTGACGACACTTTATGAAAATAACATTTAATATTTATTCATAAACATAGCCCATGCGAAGAACGAGACTACTATAACTGAATCCTATACATAACAAAGGTAATTATCTAGCTTTATAGAGACCTAAGTCTATGGAATAATAAATAAATCATCGATATTAAATCATCTATTTATTAATATTGTACTGAACAAGACTGTAAATCGGTTTTCAATGTTTAAGTTGAAGACGAAGATGCAGCATATGAGAACGACTCCAAAGACTTTATAGACTCTCTAATGAAGTGTTGCACCTAATAAATTCAATTTGCTTTKAGTTTTTTCAAATCACAAGATTAATAAAATAAATTTATTTAAGAAATGTATTTTGCAAGTATACAGTATYTTRCCGGATTAAGTTTACAAGAGGAAAAAAAGTTTACCTTTGATTTTACGCCAAAACTGCAAAGAAAAAACATTTTTGCTTGACTTGAATTCTAGCTTTCAAAAATCAAGATTGTAGAACTAGTTTTAAATGCCAGATTTTTTTTGCCAATTTCAAGTTATTTCTTTTATAATCAAAATTCTAAACTTAATAATACATTTTATAATAGCCAATAAAAAGGAAACAAATTTTTACCTTTGATTTTACGCCCAAAAAGCAAAGAAAATACTTTTTTTCTATAGCAGATGTTAAACTACTTCTTTATAAACTCTTTTGACTAGATAAAGTAACACTTTAAAAGCAAGGGTTGTTTTTGCTTTATCTGAAACGAGCAAATCTGTTATTAAAACTTCATTATTCTGACGCAGTAGAGAGAAAAGTTAATTTTTTTCTTACTTCTGGACTTGTAATAATAATCTTTCTTTGCTTTTCAAGTCCCATCACATTGGCGATTTTATTTTTCTGTTTTAAATACGGATAAAGCACATTTTTTTWWATGATGTTTTTTGTCAGCCCTATAACTCGCTTACAGTCAGTCCTACAACAAAAATGCAAAGGACCATTTTTGTAGGAAATTTTGTAGGCTTTAATTTTGATAAGCAGGCAAAAACCGTTAGGAGTAATAGTTTCCGAGATATAAGCAAAAAAACAAAAAAGACACCTTTAGCCCCCTCCCCCTCCTCGAGCTCGCCCCCCACCTTCAAGGACTTTTGATATATGTCTACCCAAGAAAAAAGAAAGCGTTTAAAAAAAATTCCAACTCTCTAGGATTTTTTTTTCACCGATCGCCCTATTTTTGTATAATTTGACTGGGCTAAAGCAAGTGTTCGAAAAGCGAACCTTCAACGATAACATCAGCAACAGCATCAGCTTCTCCAGCAGTGTTAACTGCAGTACAACGATAACGTCCAGCATCACTTAGTTTAATATTATTGAATTGAATTAAGCCATCACGAGTGGTCACAGATGGGGGAAACGAGCGTCCGACTGGTACCCAGCGAATTGTTATTGGTTGTTGGCCTGTGGCACTGCATTGGATGTAAGCGTTGTCGCCAGGACGAACCACTTGACGTGGAGGAATTAAAGTGATCCTTGGAGGTGCTGAAAATTTTCACGGATGAGTTTGGATGTGCATTATTCGAGTTGGCACACAAAACATGCATCACCAATTCACTAAACTAAATTAACAGAAGGAACAAAACAGAAATACACTAGTGGAGTAGAAAGTGGCTTTATTAACTCTATGGGAAAAATCACGGGGGTTGACCGGTGCGTCATCTGACGTTTCTCCTCACAATTTTTTGACGTTAGGTTCAATATCTACGAGTTAGAAGTTGTTTATTGATGAAAGTGTTGTTTTCTACGATTCTTTGCAAAGGCATTTAAAATTTAATGTAATAATAATAAAAATAATAATAATAATAATAAAGGTCATTATTAATTAATTAAAAGTAATACAAAGATGCGGAGGCGAAGTCTAGCTTGAAGCTATTCAATTTAACCTCAAAAGAAAATTGATAAAAAAAAACAATTATAACATAAAAATAAAAATAATTATATAAACAATATAAAATTGAAATAAAAATAAATTCGGAAGTTACTTAATAACTAAAAGTAAAGAAAAAAATCATTGCCAGCCTCTCGAAAACAAAAAGAAAAAACAAGAAAGAATTCTTTAAGAAGAAATGAAAAAAAAAAAAATGAAAAAAAAACAAAAATTGAATAGAAATAAATTCTTTTGCATTTATTTTTAACGTCAGTTAAAATACTATTTCCAATAGATTGGAAATGACGTTCTACATGCAGTGTATTTATTAGATCAATATGTTTTCCAATGTTTTTGGATGTTGTATCTAAAACTCGGATTTTTAGTGTACATTAGTATAAAACCGATTTTCTAAAAAACAGTGGGTATGTTGAGAAGAAAATAGATGCAAAATCGGTATTTCGTAAATAGGAATCATCATAGACATAAGAAGCGTGGATAAATAATTTCTTACATTGAGTTTTTTTAAGGGTTTAAAACGATAGACGATCTTATGCATTCTTCCAGGTAAGAAAAAAGAAAAAGTTGAAATTCAAGACGTCTACAGAATAAAGTTGCATCTTACATCCTTCAAAAAGCTTTTAATCTTATGAAAATAAGAAAATTACTTTGGCTTGGAGTAAAAAGAAAGTGTTAAATGTACTGACTTTTTGATTTTCAAAAGAAGAAAAATTCTTAGGGAAATGTTTAAATTTAGTAGTAAAAATGCCAATCGAGACGTTTCAAAACATCGTGCTACAAAAAACAGTTGAAGAGACTAAGAAAGTGTTAGATGTACTACGTTAAAAAAATTCTAGATTTGCAAAAAAAAATTCTTAAAGAAATGCTTAAATTAAATTATTTACCTCAAATAATCGCAATTTTATATGTAGAGTGTGATTTGTGCCAAAGCAGACACACTATGTAAAGTACTAAAACAGCATTTGAATGTTTTTTTTTATAAGATTGACCCCATTTTTTGTAGAATAAATAAAGGATGATGGGGGGCTAATTTTTATCGGTGACCCCTTATTATTTCAATTTTTTACACTAACACAAGTGCATTTATGCCTGATTTCATGGAAGTTACTTAATCGTAAGGAATTATTAAAAGAATGAGACTCAGAACAGAAGCAAGAAATCAATCAATAAACGAAAAATACTTCGAAATTATACCAAAAAGACTTTCAACGACGACAATAATGTTACTGTCAAACTCAAATTGACAAATTCACTCGAACATGACATTTAAGTGGTGTAGTTGAAGTACATACAGGGTGAAAATAAAGTATGGAACCAAGCGGTTTTATTTTTAATCGTTCCAGAAAATAATAATTAATATAAATTAATATAAAAAATGTCATCGTATTTTCAGAACGAAATTTTGTTTTGTTTTTGAGTTATGCAATTTTTTTTGTCAAAATTGCAATTTATGTAAAAAAAAATTTTGAAAAAATTAAATATAAAGCACATAGTTG